TCACAACGAGAAACAGTATCTCACTCCCTACTGCTGCTTAAGACATTGTTATAAATTCATTAGGAACATGAAGGTACATAAAAAACAAATTCAAACTGCCATGATGGCACAAAAAAATGCTAATGAAGTTGGTCATTAAGTTGGACTATGGGGGCTAAAATTGACAAGACTTCACTTAACAGGTGAACATTACAAAAGGGAACACATCTTCCTCTTAAACCATGCCTAGAACTGCAAGAGTTTGTGAGCTGTGACAGAGTTTGAGTGAAATACAGAATTATTAAAGCTATTCAACTGCTCCGTTATCCAAGTTTCCTGCTTCAAATAAAGTACTTGTCACCTAAAAAGTGTCTTTTTTAACTGTTCTGAATTCACAAAGTTTTCTTCTAAAACTGAGATTTATTTGCTGCGAGAGTTCGCGCAGCTGTTTCACCATTGGTATGGAAATTTGAAATGATTGACATGTGGGTTTTATCATCCCGAAACCACCATATGATTCTGAGAGACGTAGTTGTGGAGGGCTCCGGAAATTTTGAACACCTGTGGTTTTTTAATGTGCACCCAAATCTGAGCACATGGGCCTACAGAATTTTGCCTTCATCAAAAATGCAGCTGCCGCAGCCAGGATTTGGTCCCGTGACCTGCGCGTCAGCAGCCAAGTACCTTAGCCAATAGACCACTGAGAAAATTTTTAAATGAATGCTCGATTTCTTGAATACAGCATTATGTAGCTGTGTGGAGAGTGCTGAATAAAACTGCCTGGAAAACTTCACTTTGTGACAAACTGCTTCTTGGTGTAATAATCAATTTGCCAAGTGAGACAACCAATTTGTTGTTGGCTTTCTCTGCGCCTACTTGAAAGCATACCACAGCAGACACAAAGAAAAAGCAAGAACATTGGGTCAAATGTATCACAACTTTGTCATTCTAGATTTAAATATATGCTGAACACAATGTGCTTATTTGTTACTTATTGTTAACTCGTTTGCACATCCAGCGGTAAGTGGCAGCTTCAAGAAGCATTTTTAAATTGTTCACAAAATTTCGAAAATAAGTACAACAGAAGACTGCAATTGTGATGCAAATACAACATTGCAAAGTAGAATAAGTTTCACATGAGTAGCGATAATGGTTGTGAATTATTGTCGAGACATCAAGTTAAACATACATGTTGAAATCCTGGCAGTATTATATTTACCGAAAGCAACATCATTCATTTGAGCATTTTATTTCTCATTGAGTGCATGTGCAGGGATAAAAACAGCAAGGTATAAATTGGGTTGAAACAGCTGTCACGACTTAAGTATCAACCACACTACTTAATATTCTATAAGAATTGTCACCGAATATTTCCTTGGAAAATCTAGAGGAATATGTAAAGTACGATGAATGATATATATGTTTATGTGTGATATATGTGTATATACTCTGTGGGCCTAGGCACTTCATGCAAATTAAATATCTCCTCATGTCTGTCACATCAAACTATGTATATAAGGGCAAATTTTTAGCTTGAATGACCACCATATGCTATACATTCCAGCTGGGTATGCTATATGCCAGTCACTATAAGCCGTATCATCTGCTTAGTGCTTCCCAGCATTATCGCAATGGGGGCAGAGCTTCCCAGCTTGGTACACCATGTAGCCCAGTATAATGAGCAGCACCCACCATCTGCTTAGTGCTTCCCAGCATTATCACAATGGTGGGCAGAGCCTCCCATTATTGCCCACTATCTAGCTACTACTTTCCACCATCGTTTCCACTTTACCCATCTTCTGTACACCATGCCACCCAGTATGTTCCTGCATACCCACCATAATTTCCACTACGTCCCACAATACCCACCATAATTTCCACTATACCCACTATTATTTCCACTACGCCCACCAAGTTTTCCAGTATCCACCATGGCAGTTTTTCCGATAGGGAATTTTTATTACTTTATTTTTTCTTGTTCACGCATGTATTGGTTTAAAAATTTCGCCTCCTCATCGGCCTCCCACCGCCCGACTTGCTGCTGGTGGTGGTCCTGTCCACAGGCCCTTTATTACGGGATGTTTGATGACTCTCGCAGAATTGACTATATTTATTATGATAAATTGTTTTGTGAATTAGTGCTCGTAATCGAGGAGATGCAAAACGACGTGGCAAACTTAAATACAGTTGGCTGCATTGGTTTCTTCGGCACAGGTGTCAGGAATGTTGATTTTGACGGTTTATCAAAGTTTTGGTGACAGAAAGGTGCACTGCAACGTAGTCTCAGGGAACTTTTTTTTATGACACTCAGTGTACCATCACCTGACGAGGTAACAAGCAGGGCGCTTCAAAATACTGACGTGCCACCGCAATGGTCTAGGCGATCAGCACTTGATAAACGATGCCCAAGGGCAAGTGCCGACGGCGTTTTGCCCTGACGGCGTTAGCCCGTGTAACTACAAAACTGCTTGCCTGCCTTGCTGATAACACGCACGGCCTATGAAAGTACAGGAGCATTTACGTAGCAACGGACGAGAACAGCCGTATGTGTTCGCATTTAACAAAACAGCCGGCAATGCAGCAGCTTTGGCCTTCGGAGATCACAAGCTTCGTAAGAACACTACAATAAAGCTGTTTCTATTCATCGTAAGAACACTTCGCAGATGCACTGGGGTCCAATGCACGTGCGTCCAGTCACACGTGAACTGTGCAAAAGCATTTATATCATCGTCGACCTTGCCCTTCACGACAAGCAAAACTCGGCAACAAGGACACTTTCACCTCTTTGACAACAGCACGCTTGGCATTGCAATCTAGAAAATGCACTACGTCCAACAACAATAATCCACCCTTCATACTGAGAAGCTTTATGGCACACACACTCAGATGAAGCTGCGGCGCGGTGGACGGCCGCGCTAGCTCCAACCTCCAGGTTCAACTCGGCATCCAGCAATCACATGAAGCAGCGACGACAGAGTGTCTCCGGTCCTCCTTGAGGGCGGCCTAGGCCATGGCCACGATTTTGTCGGAGTTTTCACCACCACACATCGCAGGCAGCATGGCACGCAGCTACCATCTCACACTGTTTACCTTTAGCAGCCGCAGCGGTCATGCCGCCCCTGTTTTTAAAATATTTGTAATACGTGTTTAATTCACATATACTGGTTGATTGACTCGTTAAACACCTGCTTAGTAAAATTTTTGTCGGTTTAACGCACTATGCATTATTATTATTACATTTATATAGCTTTATGTTATAAATTTTAAAGTGACGTCACTTTCGTGCGGCGCAGGAGCCACTTCTGTGTGGGCACGGAGGAAGGAAAGGTGTGTGTGGGTCTTGCTGCAGCGCCGTGCGGTGCAGAAGACGCTGCGCATTTGAATGGACATCCCCCACAGAGGGTATGAGCCGCAAGTAAAGGGCAACAAGAACAAGACTTCCTATGAGTGGCAGGTTCAGTGAATTAGCCATATCTTATGATGATGTATTTCCTAACAATGCGAAATTACTACCTATAGTAATCTTCTGAATAGCATTTTGCAAGAGCACTTCAAGAGCACAAATCAAATTGGTTCCACGGATGTGATAGCAACTGATGTTTTGCAGTGTGAAGAAAAAGCCTGAGTAAGAATTTTTTTTCTACACAACTAGACTAGTCGTTTTCAGTTAGGCTTCCTGATTAGAGCCAAATAGTTTTGGCCGAGTTCTTAGCTGTTAAATTAGGTCTACGTAAAATTCCTTTAACCATCACTTCTGTGGCTATAGTTACAGATTCATTGTCGTTGTGTTCAGCACTAACTGCTTCAACAGATTCGGAAATTCTAAGATTATGGCGATTACTTGTTCCTCGTCATTTGCGAAACTTGCCATTAATTTGGGTGCCGAGACACAAAGGAATTGTAATTTTGAAGTTTCGGACTCTCTGGCGAGAGCTTCTCTGACAGGTACAGTTCTCTCTCTCCTTCCTGTTGTGGCGTTACTGCGGCAAGGTTCAGAACACGGGTTCAGAAAGTATGCATTACCTGTGTTTACTCAAAGTATAGATTCATCACTGCAGACTTCCTGCACCTACAGTTCTCTTGGAGGAGGATATGGAGAGCAGCAAGATAAGCTGAAGTTGCAATAACCAGAATGCGTTGTAGAATTCCAAAACTAAATTTTTACATGCACAGAGTGGGTTCGGCGGTCTCCCATTATTGCTCATATTGCAACGAACTCGAAACTATCGAACACTTGTTGTTGAGCTACCAACTTTTTTCCTTACACAGAAAACGTATCGAAATTATATTGCGGCAATGTGGTCTACCGGTTACGTCGGCCATTCTGCTATCATTTGGGGCCTTTGCGCTGGGGCAATAATATTCAAAGTTGTCGAAAGGTTAATATGCGACTCGAATAGATTTAGTAGGTGTATCAACTGCTAACAATTCTTTATTTAGTTTGAAGTTTATTTTACCACAGTGTTACACCATACAATGTGAGGAGTGGAATGAGGGAAAAAGGCTGCGATAAAAACGCAGCTTGACTAGCCCCGCATCCCATCAATACAAGGGAGAAAAAGTGACAGCATTCATAAAGTCCTGGAAACAACTAAACAGACGCATATACATAGTTTAAAGTGGCACGGATAAGAAATACTGCATACATAAAATTTTAAGAAATGTTGATAGAATCGCACTTTTTGAGAAAATACGAAAAAATAGAAATAAGCAGAACATAAAAACAAATCTTTGGAAATGGCTAAATCTCTCTTGCGTCATGAAAGTAAAAAAAAAATATTCGACATATCCTGTCGCGAAAGAAGGCGCAATCGTTCTAATGATAAATTGAATTTATTTATTTAGCCTTCCTAGTCAAAAGATCTTCAGTCTCTGCGAGAATACAGAAAATAGTACGACTTAAAATTAAAATTATTCCTAATTAACGTTACATTAAAAAATCGTTCCAAAATTATTTTAGCTCTTACTAAATAATAATCATAAATTCAGCTTGCATGATCCGCCCGACTGATGGCCGATTCCTCAGAGTGGGTAGATGCCAATGATCCAAGGAGCAGCATCATCATCGTCAAGACATCCTCGACCATAGCACGAATGGCAAATGAACAAGGGGGCCGATTCAAAAAGCTCGGACTGGAGCAAGCATGTCGGCGGGCGCTTGGAGACAGTCGGCATGTTGCGCTGACGCAACATACAGGGCTACAACCGGCGACCACGTCGCTTCTATGACCGTGTACGATACTGTTGACTGGTGGCGAGGTGAGTGTCCCAGGTTCGGCGAACCACGCGAGATCGCGAACTTCTCGCGAGTGGGCCGAGAGGGCCGTTACGTCGACAGTTCAGTGCAAAGGAAATACTTGATTGCTGAGATCCCCGTGGAGCCCTTGTGGGACCTGAACCACGGTTACGACACGGCAATACGACGAGACTGGACGCGGAAAAGAGTGGCTTACGGCCTATACCGCTCGGTTCTTCAAAACATTGATGTTCTAGCACAATCTCCTTCAAGCCAGACGAAATTCACCGAGGCAGCGTCGCATGGAGTGCACAGGTATGTGCTGCCTTTTAGAACTATAGCTGCCTATCGGCAACACGGTCTCTGCCGTTGAAAACTCCCCCGGTGGATAGGCGCTACCGGGATTAGTTCAAAAAAGGCGTGCAATCAATCAATCATTTATTCAATTTGTCGTTGAACAACCGTGAAGTCTTAGTGGAAGCGCACGCAAAAATTAAACTATGCAAATAAACGATGCAATACAGACACTATGCAGAAAAAATCATATAAAATGTGAAAGCACACAGTCAAAAAGAATTCGGCGTAATTGATGAAAAATAAAAAGACAAGACGAGAATCATAATATCAAAGTGAAAAATAAAGGGGAATATACACAACCTAGTAGAAACCTTCCTGAAGGACGGTAAAGCAAAAGAGTCTGCACATTGTGAAAAACTGTGTTAACACAGTACAGTGCTGAGATAAAAATGATGACAGTGGCGACAGAGATGAAATGATGACAGAGATAAAAATGATGACAGTGTCGAAAACAACAAAATCATGAAAGTTGAAACTTACTTTGTATTCTATGAACAGTAGAGTGATGAGGAAGTTAGCAGGTGTTTGGAATGGTCGATTCTTTCAGTTTAACTAACGCGGAATGCGAAAATTTACACAACTGAACATTAAAGGCAGAATTTCAAACCGTAAACTAGTTTTTACAGAGTATTTCTAGATTCGATCAGTGGCTTCACTGCCAGATTTAGCGATGCCATTCCAGATGACAGATGCATTATCAAGTTAAGGAAGACATATATTGCGTTTTACAATTTGTGGAAAACCGTAGGAGAAATGAATTCTCGAGAGATTCTGCAAACGCAGCCGAGGGAACTATTGCCTCAGAAAATTAGTGCACGGAAAGTCAAAGTATGAGTCCTCAAAATTCAAAACTCGAGCAGATGACATTATCTTTTGCATTTCACTGGCAGCATGTTAGGTGTGAGCAGAAAAATTTAGCATGCTATAAAAAAGAACACCAACTTCGCTGAATGCATAAACCTTACAGTGCCATAAAAACACTTTATACGCAAAAATGGTATGGACATGATATAGATATTGTGTAAAAATCACACGATAAATTTTTTGCGGGATAAACCCATCAATTTGATCTTTGAGGTATTCAGAGAAAGGTTGTTCTTGTCACACCATTCGGAGAAAGAACACAAATCTGACTGCAGCAAGCGAGAGTTGTTAACAGAATGAATTTTTCTGAATACCTTAACCCTTTCATTACCGCGCGAATTTGGTCATTTTCATGTGTCTCGGAAAAAGAGTTTTTCCCAGCTTGAAAAGTACTGCAGCACGCACTGCGCCGTACCACAGTTTGCACATATAATGCTCTTTCTAAAAAGTTATAATATATAGGAACAAAGATATTTTGGAATAAAGTTTGAAATCAAACGTGTAAATTTTTGTTCCCAGCTGGTCAACAGTGCCTTAAAACACTATATACGCATAAATATTCAAGACGAAGAAAATTCAGAATATAAATTACAAGGATAAATGACTCAGGAACTGTATAAAAATAGTAATTCTTGTACAAAATGTTTGTATTTACAGTGACAAAGAAAATCGGAACTGAGGCGTTGTTTTGTTTCTCGCGCCATGCGGTGAAGCATTGCTTGGTTTTTCGTGAGACACAAGTGAACTTTTCGTAAGGCACAAGTACTTTTTCGTGAGGCACAGGTACCTTTCTTGTTTTTCGCAATAAGAGTCTGCAGGTGACCAACATAAAAAAACACCCGTGATGTGAATAATTTTTCTATAACTCATATGTTCGCTGAATTTCACTATTTGCTCTACCTTCTTCTTTTTCATGAGCCATCTCACTTCGCATAGGTTGGCGTGTAAACATATGCATCACAGCATATTTCTTTCCGTATTGGCACATTGGATTAAAAATTAACAATATCATGCACAGTTCAAAAACGTTTCGTGCTGCTTCGTAGTGAGAGCCAAGATGTGCTTCGTGGTGATCTTCCTGTAGTGAGGAGAAGCTCTGCAGCCGGCACCAGCACACCGCGTCTCAACGACATATGGACCTTGCACGCAAGCATAGTAGCTATAAAATTGTGCGCAAAGGTCAGCAGCTACGCAATCACAGCAGAGGAGATGACGTTCGACCATGAATAAAACAAACGCATGAACGAGAGCTTCAGGCTCACGCAAAACATCGTCGCTACTAAACTTGAAGCTGAGTTGCTGTCATCATCGAACTCAAAGTTCGTCCTCCCTCAGTTCATGAGTGGTTGCAAAAATGTTTCGAGTTGTGCGTGACTTTCGCAGTGCAGGTGAGCACCCACACACACGTGCGACGACGATGCCATAGGAGCAACTAGTGACAAGTGGTGCAGTCCTGTGTCTGATATAACGATACGAGCCAAATAAAAGCTGCTGTAAAGTAGTTGGGAAGGTCATCTCTATACTTTATACATGGGCAGACCTTTGGGAATATTTTTTGTAGAATAAGTTTTTTCTGGCTCCAGCAACAGCTCTCTACTGAATGGCTGGCATAAATCATCATCATCATCATCATTTATTTTACCCTTAAGGGCCTCTCTCGGGGCATTACATAAGGGGGGGGAAAAAATCCAAGTACAAATTTCAATGAAAATGCAGATTCATGGTTACAGTTCTTGAATTACTAAAACATACAGGTAGCAACAAAAAAAAAGAAAACAGAGCATGTCAAACGAAATATTCAACAGTAAATTCGCGGTCAAAAATATACAGGCGGCAGAGAACAAACAACAAAAAAAGACAAACAGCGATTAAGAGTCAAGGGTAGCTAGTAATAAATCTCTAAATTTAACAGCAACTTGTTCGCTGACAATAGCATCCGTCAAACCGTTCCACTCATCGATAGCCGTAGGAAGAAATGATTTATTAAAAGCGTTAGTAGAACCGAACAGACGTTGGATACTCAGGGAATTAAATAGGCGACGAGATGTTACTCTAAACACTATATTACTGCATAATGTTACTGCTAAACACTATTAGATTGTGGAGGCAACCCCTTAGATTGATATTCGACTTGCAAATGTTCCTTTCAATACAGATCTGTGATGTTACTGTAGCATAACCATGAGGGGCACGCGTTTAGGTCAAATTCACCAGTCAACTGTTCTTTCGCAACAACACATGCACATTGGTACGCGCAAAACTTAGGAAACACCATCATGTTACCAAAAGGAGCTAACTCGAATTGATTCTGAAAGAAGAGGGGCTGTACTGAGGGGCTGTACTGACTACTAGGAAGTGCTGAGTGCACGAGAAACAATTTCGACATGATAAAATCGACGATTCAAAGCATCGATTACCGGTGATCGATTTGAATAGGCCCGGTAATGAAAGCGTTAATGTCATCAGCATACAAGAGAAAAAAAGAATAGAGAACTGCAAGAGAAGCATTGTTACCATAAATAAAATAAGAGTGGGCTTAACACCGACCCTTGAGGGATTCTACTAGTCGCTTCGTAAAGGAAGACGTTTGGTCATTTACGGCAACATAGCATGATCTATCAAAGGGGCCGTGTTGAAAGCTGTGGGACAGCCTCATTTAGCAGCGGAACCCGAGTAGCATTGATTTCGGAGACAAATTCAACAAATATTATAAAAGTTTGTGCACGGAAAGTCAAGTTATGAGTCCTCAAAATTCAAAACTCGAGCAGATGATGACAAGAAACGTTATTTTTCGCGTTTCGCTGGCCTGCTGACGTCAAAGACCACTTCTAATCACAGTGCGCGTCTCATTAAGGCATACCTGAAGTGTCACATAATGGTGGCCTTCCCACAATACTTCGCTGCCGCTCTTTTTGAAGGCGTCATGAGTATGGTTTCTACGAACCACGTGTGTCGTGTAGCAGATGCTCCCACGGTCCAACTCTTTAAGATGCACATACGCTTTGGGCGGGGTATCTTCTCGGCTTTCTTGCAAGACGCGTTCTATAGCAATGCCGGCACCCACCACGTGTGTACTTTTGGCTCGCTAAAAATGCGGCCTGTGTTTCCACATTCAGTTGCTGGCGTACCATTGCCTTGTTTGCCGACTATGTGTTGTGTTCAATGTTCTGAAAATACATAATTTAGAAGAAGGAATGACTTCTTTCAGATAAAGTGTAAAAAAAAGTTTGCTGTTTTTAGCATTCACTCCCATGGTGTAGATTCCACGTTATAAACATTGCAGGCTATTTGTCCCATCTAGCCAATAAATTGAATGGTTGTCCTTGTCGTCCCGTCACATGACATTACGTCACTTCCCATAACAAAAATAGCCGATGTGTGTCACCGTAGCCTGTGAGTTAAAATTATAACAACGTCGCTTTCGGCGTTGCTACTTGTGAATGATATCGGGGCATTCCACAGCTGTTGTGATGGCCTTAAGATACTTCAAGAGCCATCTATAATGCTGGAGTTTCAAGCTTTTCACTCACGATAATAGCCGGTAATCAGGTGTTCAAAATGGATTTTAAGATTAACGTTTGAAATCATGAAAATAGATGTTGCACACGGCATCAAAACATGCCACGAATGTCAGGCACAAAAAGCCAAATTCAAGCCGAGGGGAAATCATATGGTCGTGCCAACACACTCAAACGGTTCCTTTCATGTATTGCACCTCGACTTCTGCGAGATACAAAACAACAGCAAGTGCATTGGGAAAACGCAAGATTTTCTTGCGGCAGACGATGAGTGTACATGGTGTGTTCCTGCAAGGCTAGGATGCGAATTGTGTCAGTCGCTACTGGGAAGAAACATCTTCAAGATCGACAAAGCCGTATTTGCTGATAACGTACGAGCTTTCCGAAGCGACAAGCTCACTATGTTGGCCAGCAAACAGGTGTCGAGCTTCAATTTTCTGCGCCTTATCACGCCGAAGCCCACTCTTTCTCTGGGAGGGTGATACTGGGCCTGCAGACGGTCATTTCTCTCTACCCACAATTTAAGGAGGTTGGAAGTGCTCACTCGAGGTACTAGCCATGCATCACAATTGCTCC